GAATTGGTTAAGGGCTGTGATTTATGAATATAGGCAGCTATCCAGATTGCCTTATCTCGGCTGTCCTGCTGTGAAACATGCTATTCTGAGTACCTAAATTGACCTCTATTCCACCCCATTCGACAGTCATTGGTTATCTCATGAGGAGGACGATAAATTACTCTGACACAATGCAAAATATTGAGAATCAAAGAATGTTAGAGAGGAAACTTATATAGAAATAATTTCCTCTTGTTTGCTAGATATAAAATAAGCCATGATAGTTTGTGACCTACTCCGAAGGATTAAATATAAATCGTGCCTTATTCTAACCAAATTCTCAGCAGCATAAGTCTCAACCATACACATATATGTGTGTGTACATACATACACAAGGACACATGCTCTTATGTAAGTTCCATGAAGGCAGGGGCTACATTGTTCTCACATATTCCCAACACCTTGTACAGCAGCCTGTACTGTAGGTGTTCAATATTGACTGAATGCATGAAAAAAATGGATGAATAAGCACAAACACATAGAAAAGCATAGCTCTAAAACAATGAGTATAATTTGCTTTTTATTTTCAGATTTATGGAGGCATAGTTGACAATCACTGTATGTAATTAAGGTATACAACTTGGTGTTTTGACATTGATATATATATTGTGAAATAATCACCACAATGAAGCTGTGGTGATCTAATACCACATTACCTCCCATATTTACCATATCCATCACTTCCCATAATTACCTCTGTGTGCGTGTGTGTGTATCTCACAATTTCTTCATACATTCATCCATGGATGGACATCATTTTGGTTGTTTTTGTATCTTGGCTATTATTGACTAATGCTGCCGTGAACATGGGGATGCAGATAGCTCTATGAAATAATGATTTTTTTCTCTTTGGGTACAGATCCAGCAATGGGATTTCTGAATTATCCATACAGTTATATTTTTAATTTTTTGTGAAATCTCTGTACTGTGTTTCATAATGGCTGTACTAAGTTATATTCCCACCAGTACCGTACAGGGTTCCCTTTTCTCCATATTCTTCCCAACACTCAGTTTTTGCTTTTTTTGGTAAGCCATTCTAACAGGTGTGAGTTGAAATCTCATTATGGTTTTGATTTGATTTCTCGATAATTAGTGATGTTGAGCACATTTTCATATATTTTTGGCCATTTGTCTGTCTTCTTTTGACATATGTCTATTTAGGTCCTTTGCTCATTTTTAAATCAGGTTATAACAATTATTATTATTTTTGCTATTGAGTTGTATGAGTTCTTTATATATTTTGGATATTAACCCATTATCAGATACAGAGTTTGATAATATCTTTTCCCACTCTGTAGGTGGTTTTTTCACTCTGTTGATGGTTTCCTTGACTGTGCAGAAACTTTTTAGTTTGATGCAATTTCACTTACTGTTTTTGCTTTTGTTGCCTGGCTTTTAGTGTCTTATCCAAAAATTCATGCTCAAACCAATGTCTAGAATCTTTTTCCTTGTGTTCCTTCTGGTAGTTTTCTTATAGTAGTTTTATGTAATTTCAGGTTTTACATTTAAGTGTTTCATTCATTTTGAGTTAATTTTTGCATATGATGTAAGATAATGCCCCAACTTCATTCTTCTGTGGAGATATCCAGTTTTCACAGCACCATTCATTGAAGAGATTATCATTTCCCTATTGTGTTCTTTTGACATTCTGGTTGAAGATCAATTGACCATAGATTTGTGGATTTATTTGGGGGATCTCTATTCTGTTCCATTAGTTTAAATGTTTGGTTTTATGCCAATGTCATACTCTTTTGAGTACTGTAGCTTTGTAATACATTTTGAAATCAGGAAGCATGATGCCTCGAACTTTTTGTGCTCAAGATTGCTTTGGATATTTGGGGTCTTTTGTAGTTTCATATGAATTGTAGGATTGTTTTTCTACTTCTGTACAAAATACCACTGGGATTTTGATAGATATTGAATTGAATCTGTAGATCATTTTAGGTAGTGTGGACATTTTAACAACATTAATTATACCAATGCAGGAACGTGGGTATTTTTCTATTTATCTATTTCTTCTTTAATTTCCTGCATCAAGTTTTATGATTTTCATTGTATAAATTTTTCACATTTTTGTTCAGTTTATTCTGAGGTAGTTTATTCTTTTTTTTTTTTTTTTTTTTTTTTTTTTTTTTTTTTTTAGGAGAAGAAAATAGTTTATTAATTTGCTGGCACTGAGAAGGTTGGCTTAGTCCCATCTCAAAATACCAATGCCCTATTTCTTAGCAGAAGTACAGAGGTTTTAAAGGTTCTGATTAATCCCATACTCCCATCTTTGACTAGGACAATCTTGTGACCTCCACATGGACAATTCCTTTGAGCCATCTCCTGTGGCACAAAGAACAAAGGACACTCTCCTGCCCACTGGTGGGAGGCAGGGGTGTAGCTTTTTGTTCTCAAAAAGGGTGAGGGGTTTTTGAAGAGACAAAAACCATTTTTACCCTTTTTCTGGCCATTTTCCCTGTAAATACAAGAACAGACAAGATGACCAACCAGACATATCTATCTACCTCTCTATCATCTATTAATCTCTATTTTATAACACCTAACATGGTAGAATTTAGAGTATGCTATCTTAAATTCTCAACTCTTAAATTCAGACTGCAAAAGCAGCCACAGAACAATTACCATCAATAACTGGGTCATTGTCATGTATTTGTCTCTCTGCTAACACTTTATACAACTATTTCATTTACTCTTCATCAGTCCTATGCAATCATTACTTATGCGTGAGGCCGCTGAGGCTGAGAAAGGTTAAATAACTTGCTCAAGGTTAGAAACCTAGCAAGTATCTGGGCTAGAAATCTAGTCTCTCTGGCCCAACCCTTGACCTCATAA